ATTTGAGGGTTCCTCTAAGTCACCTCCTTTATGAAGAGGAATCACTTTAGCGAATTTCAAACAAGACGAAAAAGTTCCGGACTCCCAAGAAGCATTAATTGCCCACGCTAGAATTTCCAGCACATTATTTGGCAGATGAGAAAATATTTTGACAGAAAGCCCGTCCTTCCCTGCCGAGTTTTTATTCTTAATGCAGGAAATCGCTTCCCTTAGTTCAAAACGGTTAGTGGGCAGAAAAAAGAAAGAATTTTGCACTGATGCCTGCGTAAGATAATCAAGGGGATCCCTAGATGGAACAATATCCTCCGTGAGTTTTTTGGCTATCGTGCAATAAAAAGTATTAATTGCGTCTGGGGATAATTCAGATTCACAGACAGTTTGGCGAAATGTATTACTTTGGCGAATGTCATTTACTACCAACCAGCTTTCCTTTTGCTTATTTGGCGCTCTGCGCATACGATCAGAATAATAGGCATTTTTTGCTTCCTTCAATAGTTTTCTGTAAAGTGCTCGATATCTATTGAAGTAACTATGAAAATTCTGGTTTTCAGTATACTTCCTTATCATATGCAAAGAGCGCAGGTTCGCTGACGATGTCTCTTATTTTTTTTCCTAATTTTTTGAAAGGGAAAGGATCTATTAAATACTCTTAACAATATTTCATAATAGGTTTGAATAGGATCCTGAGAGCTAAGAACAGTATCCCACGAAGCAATAGCACTCAATTGGTAAAACCCATCATAATTATTTCTGCTAAAAACCCTACCATACCTATATCTAAGTGCATAAATGGTAAGTTAATATCCTATGCTGACGGTACGGTTATTATCTTTACTGGTAAGACATGGGAGGACACAAAAGAGAGAGTGTCGAGGCGTTTTGGCATCGTCAAAAAGTGGCTTGACTCATTCAAATTGTCGCTCAATTTATCCAAAACTAATTACATAGCCTTTTCTGTGACAGGCGCAAATAGACCTAATTTTATTGAAATTCAGACAAGCAAGGAGAAGAACAGTCATATATCAGCAGTGAAGAAAGCTAAATATTTAGGTATAGTTGTTGATCAGCATTTAAAATGGGTAGACCATATATCTTACCTAACAAAGAAATGTCGCTTCTTGATTCATAAATTTTATATTCTAAGAGAATTTCTCAGTACTAGAATGATCATATTGGTGTACAAATCTCTGGTAGAATCATTGTTGCGATATGGCCTTATTGTGTGGAGGGGAACATATAAAAGTAACTTGCAACCTCTAAATGTAATACAAAATTCCATCTTAAAAATAATGTTCAGAAAAGAAAGGCGCTACTCAACTAAATCACTATATGACAACAACATTTGCAACATAAACTGCTTATACATACACTCCATTTGTACATATATACATAGAAAAGAAACCCTAAAAAAATTCGTACACCATCATCATCAAACCAGAGCTAATGTTAATAGACACCTAATAATACCTCAAAATAGAAAAACAATAAATTTAAAATTTGCTAATTACTTAGCGCCAAAATTTTATAATATGATACCAAAGAAAATCAAAGAAATAGGTAGGATAAAAATGTTTAGTGAGAAGAGCAAAGTATTTATTGTAGATAATTATGAATCATTTTCTAAACTTATGTCATAGGATAAAAAAAAAAATAGGATTAAGTTGCCATAAACAAATAATATTGTACTTTAACAAACCCATACAAAATATAATGTCCTCTAAGATAAACCTTTATTGTAAGAACAGGTTGTGTTTATTACTATATTATAAATAGTTAAGAATTTACTTGGTGCATACAGAGGTATTAAACCTCTAGGTGCCAACAAAATAATTTTTAAATACAAAATACATGCATTGTGAAAGAAAAAAAAAATGTATTGTAAAAAATATTTAAACCTGAATAAAGATTATTATTATTATTATTATTATTATTATAACAAGAGGTTGGGAACAAGATGGCGGCGGAACCTTTATTGTCGCCACTGTATATAAAGGTTTATTTAGCCACTGTACCTACACCAGCTGAATTTAGCCACTCGCGGGTTTTGTGTAAAATCTGATTTTTTTTTTTAAATTTAAAATGCACACCAACACTTAGACAAATTCTCATTCAGAATTATTTTGACATATTTTTTTGACACATAGGTAACAGGTAAACGAGGTAAATTAAATCTCATTGGGTAAACTGCAAAAGTAAACAGTAACCTGTATATTTTCTGATGGCCTTCATTCCGCACCTGTAATTGTGTTTTACTCCAGCGTCCCCAAGCGGATGCGATCCGAAGCTTTTTTTTTAGGCCCCGCCCTCCATTAAGCTTTTTTTTCTATACGAGCGTTTTTATTCTCACCGATGAGCTCATCGATTAAGCGAAAATGTCAATTGGCTGTTTTTATTCTCATCAGTAAAACATCGATGGATTTCATCGGACTGTTTTTATTCTCATCCTACACCTATCGGTGAAAGTACGATTAGCCATCGAATTCATCGAGGTTCATTTAGGATGAACTGATGAATTATAATGTAAAATGTAACCTCAAAATTATGTTGACGGTTGTTGATGGCCGACTGGCATCGTATTGTTTTGCATTTATATTTATTATGTGAAGATTTGCGAAGACCTTAACAAAAAAAAAAGGAAAAAGGGCATGTTCAAGTGATCTGAAGGGTGTGAAAACCGAGACCCTACCAAACCTAAGAGTTCTGAGCATAAGAGCGCCAAATTACCTAACTTTGTGACAAGTGAGAAATATATCTGAAATATAAAATCAAACTTAATTTGTGAGGTCTTAAAGCTCAGCTAACTGTCTCAGAGATAGTTTTATTTCTAATATCTCATCTCCACCTAGTAAGTCTAAAATGAGACCTAACATCTAAATCACTATGCAAAGAACTACAGAAGAAATATAATTTTGTATTTTTTTATGTTTTGTACAATTCAAGTAAAACTATTTCATCTGAAGAACTTCTAGACTCATCACTCGATGATGATGAAGAGCTCACAATTATTCTCAACTAACACTAGACTTCCAATCATTGTATGGCTACGGTTTTTTAAACAAATAAAAAAATAATAAGTTTGCCACATCAAACAAACAACACAAATCAATGCCAAAAGTATCAATCCAAGTGACAAAATTCATCGTAGTGTTTTTTAGTTGATTCATTTCATCAAAAAAATTGCGATGAATTTTGATGACGTACTGCTCATTGGTGATGGAATTCATCAGGAAAACTCGATGAGAATAAAAACGCACGTTATCCGTGAGGATATGTGTTCTGTGCCTCAACTGACACCGTCTGATGACAGCCATGTCTTTGAGTTCAGTGGCACCAAAACACGAAGGAAATAAACCAATAAAATTATTAGAAAAAAGATTCTCGAGTTTCGCCAATAACCATGCCACTGCGTGCTGTCGTTCAGGATCTAACCAATAGAATCTTGTTTCTGAATAATCACGCCTCTTCACTTCCATCATTTCGCAATGCTGCCTGATTTTTTCCCATTTTAAAATATTACACATGCCCATATAGCAAAAAAAAATATATGTCACCAACTTGTTTATTATTTTGTTTCTAATTTCCGTCAAGTTTGGCAAAGCAGCGAATTCTTTTGCAGTTCGCCGTTTCGCTAGCCAGACAATAGTCTGACTGACATTTCGACCATTATTTGAACCTATACCCAAGAAAGTTTACGGTTCAAGAAAAAAGATGTTTTTAAAAACGATATTTTTGTTTATAGAGTATCATTATTTATTTGATAGCACATGATCGATAAGAGTTCGAGAGTGCCCTGTAATTTTTGTAGGTACACTGCATAGATTTTTTTAATAATTCAAAACCATTCGATGCAATGGTATTGTAGAATAGTATTTGCTGAGCATTATAATATCAGAAATCCATATTGAAGTACCCCAAGATATACCCAAGTTGTTTTTGTTTCATTACAATATAGAAAGTATTTAGAACATTTTCAAGTAAAATCAACAAAAGCTTGGTAGTGATAGTCAGGGACACAGAGTTGTTCACCTAAATAGTCATGATGGAACAATTTGTATTTAAAAAGTACTGCTGAATAAAAAGAATGATAACTTTTTATTATTAATATGTATTCCGTATTCATATTAAAGAATCTAATCGAAAGTCAAGAACGTTTCATTAGAGAAGAAAGCCATCTCCCTTCTCTCTAAATTGTCAATAGTAATAGTAATAACGGTAATCAAAACAAATGGGAAACAAGAGCTAGTCTTGCGATGATGATGTTGAGGTGACACATTTAATTCCTAGAAATAAACGATAGTTATAGTCCAGGAGGTGGCGCCAAAAACATGCAAGAGTTTTCGCAAGGCGGATATTTTCAAAATAGGTCGTACTTTAGTGCTAGAATGCTAGTGTACAGTCAGCACTCACAGTTCCGGGACAGCTGGCTCTGGGACGCGGTCAAAGTTGTAATTTTAAGAAGCATCTAAACTGTTTTCTCAAAGCTCAAAATTTATAGAAATTTTGCACATTATCTGTTTGAACGTCACAGATAACGTATGTAAATCGTCAGACGTCTAGTTCGTTGCAAAAAGGGGGTCAGACGTCCTCAAAGTTTTTATTTTATGGCATTTTCTTCAAATATATTTGTCAAATACCTGCAAAAATATGTTTTGACAGGACACCGAAGAAAATGCCATAAAATAAAAACTTTGAGGACGTCTGACCCCCTTTTTGCAACGAACTAGACGTCTGACGATTTACATACGTTATCTGTGACCTTCAAACAGATAATGTGCAAAATTTCTATAAATTTTGAGCTTTGAGAAAACAGTTTAGATGCTTCTTAAAATTACAACTTTGCCCGCGTCCCAGAGCCAGCTGTCCCGGAACTGTGAGTGCTGACTGTACACTAGCCTTCTAACACTAAAGTACGACCTATTTTGAAAATATCAGCCTTGCGAAAACTCTTGCATGTTTTTGACGCCAGCTCCCCAACTATTACGTATGGAAATTGTACTTACTGAGACTTGCTTTATGTCCGAAAATGTTTCCTTTATCGAAAGCATCTTTCCATTTAAAAGGTACTGTTAGCTCTTGTGCTGGAATCTTGCTCTCTAGAGCCACCAACTGATCATAATATCTACGTTAAGAAAAAAAAATCGTAACAAAGTCAATTAATTAATAAAAAGATGAATCATACCCATAAATAATCTCCAGCGAACTCTCAAATTTTTCAAAGGCTTTCCAAATAGCATTGCTTCGGAGCTTGGAAAATTCGTTTACTGCTTCAGCACAATTTTCGGGATTATCGGCCGTACTGTAGCGCGACTGTATTAAATTTTTTAATGGAGTTATAATGTCCACATCGCTTGGTTTTTTCAGGGGAACCGATAGCAAGTCAGCCATCTTCAACAATAATTTTTAAATATGACTTTCTGTAATATGACGACTTCTACCAAAACATTGAATTTGACACATTTATCTGACGTTTGAATTGTTGTGACGTTCCTTGTTCCTTTAACCCTTTTCACGTGGCTCCGGTTTAACAAACCGCTCAAATTCGAGTGGTAGGTATCCATCACGTTACTTCGTAACCGGGTTATGGGCGTTTGCACCGACCATTTTAAGGGAGGTTTAACGATAGTCAACGTTTAAAGAGACATTTTTACATGTAAAAACGTCACTTTTAAACGTTGATTATTGTTAAACCTTGCTTAAAATGGTCGGTGCAAACGGCCATTAGAAAACGGTATGTCATTTCTCTAACCGTTTTGTAACCCGATTAGTTAAACCGGAGCCACGTGAAAAGAACTTTTGCTTTCTTCTTTTTTCAAAATAGGCCGAGACAAGTAGCACAACCCAACAAAGTAAAACGGTAGCGGTAGAGGCAATTTTGGTTAGGTTGGTGGTTGGTTGTTGGTTGTTGTTTTGTGTTTAGTTTAACCCAAGGCTGGATTTTTTTTTCTCAATTCTGGAAATCAAATATAGAGATACTGGAAATTTTGTTGAGTATGGCATTGGGTAAGAAATAGTGTATTTTCATTTGATTGTTTATTTTCGTAATTTTTTCAGAATTGAATGAAGCCAGGAAAAAACTAGAAGCAGTTCTAAGTGAACCTCTGAGAACACAGTATTTCGCTCATTTAAGACAATGGTTTATATTCAATCCCACATTAACTAAAGAAACATTTGACGAAAAAGTCAACCAGTTGTTCCAAACTAGAGAGCAAAGGATTTGCCACCAGTATTTTCTCTTGGCATTATTGAAGAAGAGCCAGTGTATAAGTAGAATAAAACAAGTCAACAAAGGAGTTTTCGAGCCTGCTGACTACGTAGGTAATGTTTCCAATAATTTATTTTCATTAAAACATTTCAATATTATGCTTAAAGTAAAATTTAATATTTCCCGTGGTCCTAACCAGGTCCACTATCATCAAAAAATCCCTTCTGTGATTTTTCATTTTTTTGCAAAAGATCCTGCATTTCTACAGCTTTCAACACATTTTTTCTGCTGGTCTCTTGTATTTCTCCTCCCAACAAGAATTCGTCCAATATGAAATATGCCTTCTCAAAATTAAAAATAATGTCCAACTCACACACACTACCAAAATACTTATCAAGAAGCTTTACATATCTATGAACAATCTCTAGAGCCAAAAGCTCATTGTCATTTTGTTCAATGGCACAGCACAAATACAAATTGGCATATTTTCTGTACACTATTTTAAGGTCTTTCCATTCCAGAATGGTACACGTTTTTGATGGCTTTCCTAGTATGGCAACTGTTAGTTCTCTGATAGTTTTCTTTTTTTCTTTGTCTGAATAGGTTGTGTACCATTTTTGCAATCGGACTATTCCTTGACTGTTGAATAATAACAAAAACTGCATTTTGGCTCAACTTTTATGCTATTCTTGGGAAATTTTTCTGCTTCAGATACTTTATTGTGGTGATTTTTAAATTTAAAAGTTCTGCCTTTGTGACAATAGGGATTACTAATCAACTTATCAGATCCTGAGATCAGCCAGCAGACAGTTTGGTTAAAGTCGATTAACCGGTCGGTCACAACTGACAGATAATCAATGGAGCAAACGTCATTTGTCAACCAATCAGTATTAAATGACGTTAAATCTCTAATGCCTCAATCTCACTTGCGCGAAATTTGCTCTTTTTGCGCGAAATTTGACAATTTGACATTTTATGCGTGTATCAAACATCAAATTTTTGAAGCAATATCAAAAAAGAGCGAATTTTGCGCAAGTGAGAATCAAGCTTAAGAGTGGTTATAAAACTATTTGACAGAATAACTTAAAGTTAACTTCTGGAAGGGCGTCACTTCTCATTCCAGAAAGTAACTTTTAGTTTTCCGTCAACATAGTTTTATAATACCCGCCCTAAGTGTTAAATGCATTGTTCCTCTGTCAAAATAACCGACTGGTTAATCACCTTTGATTCAAGCCTTTGATTTACCTAAAGTCTAGTACTCATAACTGCGAAATTCGCACTTTTTTGAGATTGCTTCGACAAATTGACGTTTTATGCGTGAATTAAATGTCAAATTGTCCAAGCAATGTCAAAAAATTGTGAATTTCGCAGTTATGAGTACTAGGCTTAAGTTTGGTAACTGTCTTCAGAATCGTAATCAAACTATGTTGACAGCGTTTTGATTTTTCTACAACTATTTAAGAACAATTCTGGAATTGTTCTACACTTTATTTTTTTCCAAGATAGATTTTGACATTGTCAACTTTGAAACATAAACAATGCCGCTAATGCCACTTATTGGCCGCTATTGTAAAACTGATGTCAACCTGCAGAAACACCTCATTTTGCGACCAATCAGGGTCAAGCGTTATTGTTTATGTTTCAAAGTTTTCAATGTCAAAATCTATCTTGGAAAAAAACAAAGTATAGAACGGTTTTCTCAGTTCTTGCTCTGAATAGGAACTGTTTTGAAATTTTGTAATTTGTGGCGTGTTTTGTTTTTTTTTTGGTTCCGAATCGGTTCAGAACTAGTATTAGAGCCGCTTTCCAGCTGTGTGCTTCAAGCACAGTGCAGCACAGTGTTCTGTGTTTGAAACGCAGAAGTTAGCAGCTCTCGAAGCGCAGTACGGCTGGAACACGAATACTCGCTTGAAGCATTTGCGTGCGCAACAGCTCGATTGCGTGCTCAAAAGCGTCAGCTGGAAAGCGGCTTAGAACAGTCCTCTATTATTTTTTGTGCGCAAGCAGTTCTGCGCAATCCCAGAACCGTTCCAAATTTCGAACCAAAACAAAGATAAAGTTAATGGTAAACAGACGTCATCAGGGTCCTTATTCTTGAAACAGGGGAGCAGCGTTCCCAGGAGAACGAGTGTTCTGTCTTTCTCAATGATATGCAACTGATAATATAAGTAATAAAGACGGAACACTCGTTCTCCCGGGAACGCTGCTCCCCTGTTTCAAGAATCAGGACCAGGACGACCTTATGGAGGTTTGCATTATGTTTGGGCAGCCTAGATGACGTCATAAAAGTTATCAGGCAAGTTACCTCTTTCAAGTAACCTTGAAACCTTGGGTTCGATTCCACAATCATAAACTCTACAGGATTGACGAATCGGCTAATGTTTCAATCTGTCCGCCAGTGCTGTGACGTCAGCTGCAGTTCTTGATTTGATTGATTTGGCACGGGAGCCACAGGCAGCACCTAGACGCGCACTAAGGATGACACACCTTCTATGACACACCTACAACAAAGGATTGCTTATCGGCCTCGTTTTTGGTAATCGCCGCCATATTGGTGTATTACCATGTCCGACGTCATAGCTACGGCAGCTGTTTAAACAGCCTACGCCAAGGCGAAAAATAACATGCTTTTGGGGGGTGGTTCTCCCCCTAGCTAGGGGGTTGAAGCTACGGAGATGAAAAAACCTGAAAAATCGCTCCCTTAAATCAAAAATCGACGTGTCCCAACATTTTTCCAAATTTTCATTTCAAATCGAATCAATCGAGGTAGACTGTTTTCCCTGTATAAATATGCTTGCCCAAGTAACCTCTCTCTCCTCTCTAGAGATTCTCCTGAGCACATGTCTGTATATGGCGTAGATCTCAGTCTGATATACCGTTGGGTATTGACCCAGTGCAAGACTTACACTGGTATTCATAGTCAAACGCTGGCGAAGCGCCGAAAAGAATCGTTCGCTGGTGAATTCTCCGGCGAGCGGACGGTTGGCGGAGGAAAAAAATGTGCTTTTCATAGTCAAGCGTTGGAGAATCGCTGACGGGCGGAAGGTGATGAAAAAACTGGCGAGCCGTCGACCCATCGTATAATGTAAACAAAATAGTGAGAGCTTGTTTTAAAAGAAAAACTTCATGCCTGCTTTAATAAAATGAATTGAATTGAATATTGTATTTTGTGTCAATTTTCATGGAACTATGGCAGTCGCCTATACCCGCGAAGAAATATGGGTACAAATTATAAAACAATCTTCGATCCTTGAAAATACGCGTACAGACGTAAAATTCAATAGAGTTTTCAATGGGTGGTATGAATAATAACGAAGTACTTGCTACTACTACAAGTATTAGTATGTTCTACGTAGTATTTACTCCAAAACTAAGTAGATACTACATTTCGACACTACCGGAAATTCGTAAATGCTTCCTTGTGAAGTAAATACTGCGAAGAATATACTAATACTTGTAGTAGTAGCATGTACTTCGTTTTTATTCATACGACCCAATGTCCCTAATATATCGTTTGGGCATTTCTAGCTTAAAAAATTTCACATCATCAACTTCATTGATTTCTGCATTCATTCGCACAATGTCATGAAGGTTTTCCATGATCAAATCGATCTGGTTTTAACGTGAAAGTATTAAGTGGCGCGTCGCTGGAGAACCATAGGACTGGCTCCAGTCGCCCAGCTGAAAACCACCTATAATCTCAAAACAGCGCATGTGATCTTTCGCTGGCGAATGACTATGAAACTTAAAAAAAAATTACTATCCAACCGCCCGCCGGCGAGAGATTAGAAAAGTGAAGTGACGGAAGTTATCATGCGTCATTCGGCGGGCGCTTGACTCTGAAACGCAAAACAAGATTTTCAGCAAATCTCCAACCGGCGGGTTGCTGGCGGTCGACTATGAATACCAGTGTTATTCTCGCCACAGGTCTCTCCCCATATACAGCAGCCCCTCCACTCTCCCCCGTCAGAGACCCGTCTGTGTACCAGATGAGCTCCTTCCTCTTCAGAAAGCCTGTATTAGGCTCTAGTCAGTCGTCCCTTGCAGGGATGACGACCTTGTATTGTCTAGGAGGGGCTGAAGTTTTTGGCATTGCATCCCTTCTGTTGAGAAGGGGGTCCTGCCTGATGGTGTCAGTCCAGGCCCTTGCATGTCCCATACTCAGCCCTTTGTGAACCCATTGTCTCCAATCGTTGAGTCTGACAGAAGCCTCCCGGGCTCAAGCCTCCACAAAGAGATGGAGAGGCATTATACCCAGTACGGCCTCCATCGCCAATGTTGGGGTGGCTTTAAAGGCTCCAATTGTAGCCACGCACGCAAGTCTTTGGAACTTGTCCAGCTTTGCCCTGTAGGTGGATTTGCTAAGCGCGTTCCACCAAAGTAAGCTGCCGTATGTGATCATTGGCCTTATCACTGCTGTGTAAAGCCAGTGGACTATGTGGGGTTGTAAGCCCCAGGTGCGTCCAATGGATCTTCTGCAGGTCCAAAAGCTAACGGTGGCTCTGTGAACGATCCCTTTAATGATGTTGGTTATTCTACCAGCCACAACGATGACAAGATCGTCCTCGTAGCCTTGAGTGTACAGCTGCAGTTCTTTATTGGCGCGTTTACGAATACGAATTTCGGGTTCTACGCACACATTTTTGTATGGCTTTGCGCTGCATTCAATACTGAAATCCTTTCTAAAATCAACCAGTAAACTACCATAGGTCTATTCTCACAGAAATCACAAACCTATCAGTATGTGAGAACAAACCTCAGGTGAATTACGCTTAAGCTGGATTCCGCTTCCGTAACGTAAGACTTGAAAGTAGTTAACCACAAGACTTTAAAAAAAACACATGTAAATTAATAAGAACAATTCATGGTGCAACATCTGACCGTAAGAAATGGTCCAATTTTATTTCTTACATTACAGCTTTAGATTTCATTAGGAATTGCAGATGAACAGCAAAATCAAATTACTAGATAAATATCGAAACTTAACCTATGAATATAATATAACTTTTTACTTCTTAAGTTTTAAGTTAGCTCTGAGTCAACTGGCATTTATATCTTGAGTTTTACGTGTTAAGTCATGGCTTACTTTTAAGTCTTACTGTAACGGAAGCTCTGAGCAGGTCTTGGAGTATTGTGTTGGTTGTGAAAAAATGATGTTAAGTAGACACCATTCACTCTGACTTGTAACTATAGCCTCTCCAAAAATGCAAAGGCCTTTTTTAAATACAGATAAAGATGTCCATTGTCAAATTCTTTGGACCCATTGTTAATACATTCTAACGGGCTTGTCATTGTGCAGCGTTGAGGAAGAAATCCATGCTGACTGGGCTGGGATTATCTGGTTTTGCATTAAGAATTCTATGAGCTCAGGTACTATTGACCATTCCAGTATAGATGACTATGACAATTTGCTGTGGCATTTTCCACTTGTTTTCGACCTAGAAAATTTTTAATTTGACAACAAAATGATCGGTCGCCCCCCTGTAATTTGAGGTGTCTAGTCTAGCCGATTTCACTTTTTGGATATGGGTATCATATAAGCCATAGTCAATTTCCCAGATGTTGGAATGTCTGTGTATATGAGGGATAAGATGGGTGTAGGGTGTCGTTACATTCTTTGATAATTGAGGGAAAGTCATTGAACTGAACTTATTGCTTTCCACATTTTGTCTAAGGCCACTTTTGTTCGGTTCATTCATCAATGATCTCGGTAATGTAGTTACTTCCAATTCTCTAATGTTTCCGGATGATCTAAAGATATTTTGGAAGTATCATCAACTCATGATATTCTTTTCTTGAAAAATGATCTGAGTATTGTATATGATTGGTGTGGCCCGAGTTTTGACCATAACCACGTGCCACTTATACTGACAAATGCTGCTTTATGTGCTTCACTCACCTGATGAATACTACCCGTGGAATATGCTAGATGCTAGAAATAATGTTGCTGTTACTGAAGTGTTTGTTGTTGAAGATCTTGGCGTTTACTTGGATATACCCACTTATTGTCGCGAGCATAATATTGGGACTTATAGAATCTTGGATTTGATTAAAAGATTCAGCGATGGCTTTAGGAGCGTACTTATATGCTGTGAAAGTGTTGTTCAATTTTGGTTTTGGAGTTTTAAATAATAGTTTGATAGCTAAATTATCAGGTTCATACATGGGTTCATATAAACAGACTTGAAAATGTTCAACTTTTTATGAAATTTTATTTTGTTCAGATTATGTGCAAGCAAGAAAACCAAATCGGCCATTACCATCAAACTACACCTATCCTCGTTTAGCCTCAGAATTATTTACACCATACAGTGGTTTCATAACTTGTAGAATCAATATTGCAGCTTGGGAATGTGGGATGGAAGGAGCGGATGCTGATGTAACTCAACTTATTGCTCACGCTTGTCAGGTAAGTTTTTTTTCTTGATCTCAATTAATCTAGTTCCGAGTAATATTTTTTTAGACGTTTTTAAAAAATATAATTACCGCAATGATCACAAAAGCTAAAGGTTATAAAATAAGAGAAAATAAATTTCAATATGGTTTTAATATGCCTATACCTGATCCAAACATTAGAAATTCAAACAATATTATTGACGAAACTGTAGAACTTAGCGATCTAAATGAAGATCCAATTTTGCCAAAGTATAAAAAATCGTTAGAAAGAACGATCAAAGAAAGAGCATTCGCTCATGCAGCTAGCAAAAAGGTAAAAACGCAAAACTTCTCGCAAACTAATTATTAATTGAAACTTTTGATTTCAGAGGAAACCGAATGTTAGTTTAGATACAGCATTGTTATATGAAACTATTAGAGGAAATCCGAAACTTTTAGGTTTGCACGGGCTTCACAGCGTGCAACTGCTAAAATTAAGTTTGCACGAGGGCAGGGAACGAAGGGTTAAGCTTGATGAAGATGTTGATAGTTCTTGACAATTGTTTGGATTTTGATTTAGATCATCAAATACATAGTACCTAGGTCTAATTTATTTAGAATATTTATTTATTTTGTTTAATTCAAATTAACCGAGGATAAGTAGTTGTAAGTTTTTAGACCATATTTGTCCAGATTTAGGTATCCAGAAATTAAACAATGTATTGATATTACAAAAGTTAATTTTTTAAAAATATTTTTTTATACTTTATACAGTGAGGTTGAGTATTAGTTTAAAGTTTTTTTTTTAAATATTTTTTCTCAACGTTGGATTTCTTTATATCATATTGTAAATTGTATTTTTAATCTAGGTATGTAATATTCTTTTATTTTATTGGGTAATAATTTTGGTGATATTGTGATATTTTGTTTAGAAATTTAGTTTTTTACTATAATTTTTTTTGTAGACCTTTCAGTGTAAATATAGTGAAATATAAGAAATTGAATACAGACTTTTGTAAGTTCCTATTTAGCCAACCTCACAAGGACAAAATTAGAGAAAAAAATTTAACTAAATTTATTATCATGGTAGGTATTCCTTCAGTAGCAATTCATCCATCTTCATGCCAGGCAATTACTCAGAAGGCCACAATTCTGAAAATATGTGAAAATAGGTAAGGCCGATTAATTTTTGCTTCTATTAGAAGACATGTTTACAAAAGCATCTGGTTGAATATATTGCATCACAGTATTCTCACTGTTTTTCCATAAATCGAATAAATTTAACATCTCTTAGGGATAGACCTACCCTTAAAACCGAGCTTAAAACGCTTCAAAATACAGGCTGTTCGAAAATGTCATGAACTGACCGAAAGGAGCAGATATTACGGAAAACACATTTGAAATGTTTGAATGGATAATCATTGGAAGTGTTTCGTTTAATTTTTAACATGTGCACCTTTGGAATTAATGGTCATTTACATTACACTAGCGTTTATGAACATTAATATAATAACGAGTGTGAAAGATTAGAGAGACGAGGTCGTAGACGTCGTTCTAATCACACGAATTTTGTAGTCATGTTTGAACATACGTGTGATTTTATCTACAACCGAAAAATAAGAACATGCTGTTTCAATTTTTGTTTATTATAGTCGAGGAGGCAATGAAATTTTTTAGAATTTTTTAATATTTTAATAATATTAAATAGATTTGTTCTCTTGGTGAGACAAAACAAGAATTTTTGATTCTAGCTACAATTTTCGGATTGGTTCACAAGATACAACATTTACTAAAATAGAACATAAAGTTTATGAAAATAACAATCTAGCTTATCTCAGATAACTAAAAGTTAGTCTGAAAATTTTCAGATTCAAAAATTTTCCGTATCCCTTATTTTTCCAAGCTCGAAATTTAGCATTTATAAAAAAGGATATGTGATCTTTAGTTTATCACCATAATGAATTATTTTTTCTGAGTATTCTTTAAATTCTCTGTCAACGCGATATTTAAAAATATTAGTTTTTGGTGCTGAGACTGTAGGTTTGTTCCAACCGGCAGTAATTTCCAGTAATATTACTGGCACACATGCGCAATTGTGAAATGCTGTTCCAACCAGTTAAAATTACTAATTTAGAATTGGCGATAATTGACAGTTCGTCGTTCCAACCGGAGTTACGGATAGTAAAATTACGGTTCAAACGATTCTTGCTTGAAAGGAAGAACTGTTGGTTCTAAAATTAGACGCATGAGTAGGGAGGTCGAAAACTGGTCAGTGGTTGAACAACAACGAACATTAATAATAATACATAACCCAGAACCTCAGTTTTTTGTTTTATTTAAATTATTTATTTGAAAATGACTGCTATAGAAGTTAAGTAATTTTATGTCCGATTGACCAATAAAGTGCTATTTATAGAAAAGTTTTGCGTCAATAAAGTAGCACTTTATTGTACTAGTAAAATAAAGTGATACTTTATTTTACTAGTAAAATAAAGTGCTACTTTATTGCCTACCTGGACTACCTGATAAGTTAAAACAGGTCCTGACAACCTGCCAAGGTGAAACAGGTATACCTACGCAAATTTTACTTTTTCATTAATTTTTTTAAATTTCTAACAAAAACCAGTCGTAATCGTACATAAAATCATGTATATAACGCTTACATAAACAGGCTTTATTGACTCATTATTTAATAGCCTCGCTCGCAAGCTCGCTCGGTCATAAAATTATTCGTACAATAAAGCCTTACTTTATGTACTTGTTATATAAATAGCTATTATTTTATTTGTTCTCAGAGTTAATAAATCTGATTTTTGTCTTATATTAGGTTTAGAAGAATTCCTTATTGTGGTGGAAGATGATTCACCTGCAAGTATGCAAGTTATGTTGATTTTGTTATTTTCATCTTGTGTTGTGAATACTACTAGTTCAAAAAACGTTCCAACAAGTTTTTAAGTTATTTAGTATAATATTACTGTTTTTGATTGCGCAGTCGCATTAGCGCGGTTACGGACGATAATATTACAGTAATATTATTGCAGGTTGGAACAAACCTTGTATTTTAGCAAAGCAAATTCCAAGAATGCACTACACGGCTTACTAGAAAGTTTTTCTTAGGTAGTTTTGATGATCTTTCCTTTTCAACCTTCTTGGAATGGCCACGAAGATGAGGATTTCGACATGGATGGAAAATATTTAACAGATTACACTGATAGTAATAATCACTGGTTATTTTGTAGGTTTCAATTAAATCGCCCCTGGGGCCCGATCCTCGGGCAGGGAGTAGAGCTTCCCGATAGAACGAATTTTTTTGTCCTTGTCAACGTAATCGAAAAGTAAACAAGAATGATAAAGAGGAAAAATTTGTTCTCTCGGGGAGCTCTACTCCCTGGCCCGAGGATCGGCCCTCTTTGTTTAAGAGATGTCAAATTGAATATGAGTAATCTTTCTGGATACGGTTACTGTTTCATCTGTAGGGGAATTTTTGTGACTGCGCTGAATCTTCTCAAGAAGTTCTATATCCTTAATGTAATATGGATTCCACACAGTATAAGCATATTCTATTTTTGACCTGTAAAGGGTAGATATTATCTGATTCTCCCACTCCAAGTCGGTTGTTATTACAACTCCCAGATCATTTTGTTCATTTACTGATGTCAAAGCACAGTCATTAAGAATATAGTCTTTGTTAGGGTTATTTGGGCCAATCCTTAGTACTGTGCATTTTGAGGAATTCAATTTCATTCCCCATGTTTTTGACCACTGTTTAATGTTCTTAAGATAAGTTTGAAGTAAATTCGCATCTATCAAAGGATTTGCATAGCTTTTTCAATCATCTCTGCAAACAATTTAACTCTTGAATAGATTAGTTCCACCAAAATTTTATAATAAATTAATTTCCACGTAATACAAAACTTTCATTTGCTTAATTGCTGAACGTGCACACAGCACCCAACCCTATTTGAAAATAAGTCTGGCTGATTTACAAACTGAGAATAATAGCAGAATAACTGGTTGTAGAGACACGAAAATAAAACCAGCCAGAAAAAATATCACAGACATAAAATAATTGGGAGAAATAAACCAAGAAGACATTATCAAAACCAGTGATCCAGTGGGCAGTGAAGGCAGAAAAGCCAGAAGCAAGCAGGCGATTCAATATAATAGCTTAGACCAAACGTCATGGAACTATGGACCCAAACAACAAAAGATAGAACTCCATTGTTATGCGACATGCCACGGGTCAAAAACGTTCAGAATTTGTCATGCCTCTGGTTGAACCTATACCAGATAAAATAGAAAATGATAAAAGAATTGTTGAGTGAGGGATTTAAAGCGACAGGTGCCCATACATTCTAAGACATTGAGGGAGAATGTGGGTCAACATAACATCATTACAGGGGAAAATGAGATATAAAATAAGCGTAAGTAGGGTAGAATAATAACTTCTTTATTTGAGGATTGGATAGGACATTTTTAGTCGGATTAGCGAAAATTGAATTAATTACATATGTAGTTATTACCAATTTCAGATTGAATAAATTAAAGAATAGTTGTAACACCTCTGTCATTTATTTTAATAAAACCTTATAGATTGTCAAAACCTTTTTAAATAATGTCAAAATTTACTCTCTATTTAGAAAGTCTTGGAGACATGGCCGGATTAAGCTTTCATGGGGCCCGGGGCTAGTGAAGTTTTAGGGGGCCCTTTAGCCCCTTTATAAATTGAGTGCAAAAAATATATATATGAAAAAACTATATTCTTGATATAACAGAAGACACTGCTATACCTTCATGTTTTACAAAAATAAAAAATAAGTCAAAATATCTTTTTTCTACTACCATGCTTAAAGTACTCACCATTCAGAAGACGTAATTTTTCAGTTCACGCACTAGTGCTTAAAGTAATTCACTTCATACCCTAGCGTGTAATGTCAATGACAGATGTCAACACTGTCGTCAATTTAATATTTTTCTGGTAAATTACTTCACGCACTGCAAATACTTTGAGCACTACTAGTACGTAAAGTATTTGTCTAAATTTATTTTTTTACACATATTATGTTATTGGTTGTAGAAAAAATATTGTATGCAGTACGTGTGTAAACTGTAAAGCACCTTTATTCAGTCATGTGATGTCATGACTCGTCAAAATTCACAATCGTGAAAAAAGGTTCACTTTCCACACTTGTTGCATAAACAGCGTCCGACACCAAAAATTCTGAAAAAAAAAGTGTTCCAGGTGATTTTTCAGGTAGCGGAAGAGAAACCTGTTAACCTGTAACAATTATCTGATGCATGCTTGCAGAATGAACTAGGACAACCGCTAGGTGTCGCTACAACCGGTCATGCCACTGTGCTTGAAAAGGTATTTTGTTAAAAATAGGTTGAATGGGCTCTTTCACTAATTTTTGAAATTGGCATATTTGGATAAAGCAACTAAAAACAGAATGAACATGACGCGAAAGACTAGTGCATTTAATATTTACTGTTTGCCCACGGGCCCTTGATCAGCATAAGCCTCAACACCTCAACGTTCATTTTTCAAAAGTAGGCCCCCTGCGGGGCCCTACTGGATCGCGGGGCCCGGGGCTGCAGCAGTGAAGATAAATTTACTTGAATGCCAAAGCCATTCTACAGCAACTTTATACCTTATTTACTAAATTATTGAAAGTTAGCTAGGTTTTGGATATTTGATTGCCAGTACCTAGCTATGGTACTATTATTTTAAAATTCCATGTCAAAACATTCATTTTGCATATCGATAGCAAAAATAAAGGCGTTGCGTTGATTCTGTAAAACTACTGATTGTGTCCTTGAAGACAATTTTTACGATAGACTACGGGAGTCTACCCGTGTAACTAACCTCACTTTTCTTGTTTCTAATAGCTTTGTTCCAACACAGCAGAAAACCGTACAATGTACCGTCACGATTCTGCACAAAAGCTAAAGTTTATGCGCAGAACCCAAAATTTATGTACTGAGTGGTTTCGAAACCGTTC